CGGGTTTAGGGCTTAGGGTCTGGGTTTAGGGGTTAGGGTCCGGGATTTAGGGCTTAGGGTTTTAGGGTTTAGGGTGTCTGGGGTTTAGGGCTTAGGGTCTGGGGTTTAGGGCTTAGGGTCCGGGGTTTAGGGCTTAGGGTCTGGGATTTAGGGCTTAGGTCTGGGTTTGGGGTTTCGGGCTTAGGGTCTGGGGTTTAGGGTTTAGGGTCTGGGGTTTAGGGCTTAGGGTCTGGGGTTTAGGGCTTAGGGTCTAGGGCTTAGGGTCTGGGGTTTAGGGCCCAGGGTCTGGGGTGTAGAGCCAGGACCTAAGGTTTAAGATTTGGCTAGGGGAAGGGCCATATGCTGGATGTTGGTTCGAAGGTGGGGTGGGGATAGGACAATTGTGTTGCTTTGTAGCACCTTGTGGGAGCCTTCAGCATCATCAATCGGGCATGAAAAATTTCAAGGCTCAAGTGCAGACAACAAAATATTGCGGAACAAATCGTACAAAACGTACACTGGCAGACAACAATATCACGGAACAAATCGTACAAAACATACACTGGCAGACAACAAAATATCACGGAACATATCGTACAAAACATGCCCTGGCAGACAAAAAATGTCGCGGAACAAATGGTACAAAACATATATTGGCAAACAACGAAATATCGCGGAACAAATCGTATAAAACATACACTTCCTCGTTATGCGAAATGATGCTGCCAAATGCAGTTCAGAAAAGGACTTTGGACGTGTACCGTTGTGATGAAACCTGGGAGTTCATCAATCTCGCATTGCTATGTGTAGCATGTCTGCTTAGCGAAAGAAAAGGAAGCATGTGTCCTGGTCTGATGAACGAAAATGCAAGAAAGGATGCATGCACAGAATGTTCAACATGCCAATCTCCTCGGTATGCGAAATGATGCTACCAAGTGCAGTTCAAAAAAGACAAGGAAAACATCCGGACTCCTTTTCTGAGTTGCAAGACAGACACCTTCTGTTATTCGATGCGATTGAACATCTGGATCTACCTTACATTTACTAACCGAGAAAGATCATGAATCGAATTCAAAAATGGTCTTTGATGTAACTGGAAATCTGGATCTACCTTAAGTTTAGGCCCTATGACAGATCATCTACCTTGATTTGCTTCGGCAAAAATTTTGTTGTTTTGGTTCGACGGCTGGTGTGACGCGACGTGATNNAAATATTCCTAATGTTGTGGGAACCGAAGGGCGGGTGGGTACTTTTCCAATACGTGATGTAAACGGATCAGACTCTAAGCACGACCTTGAGATGCTGAACCCTAAACCCTAAACCCTAAATTACACCAGGGTTCCGAGCCCAGGATGTGTGCCATGGTAATGCGATTCTCGCTCTGACTGCGGATGGGGCCATCGTCTTTCTCGCCTCGCCACGGGTTCCCGTGCTTTTGGGAGTTCAGGGTTATACAGGGGTCATACAGGGGTTACATAGGGGGCTAAGGTTTAGGATTAGGGTTTAGGGATTAGGGTTTGGGGACATTACCCCAACTATGGAGAATCAAATGGAAATCGAACAGGAAACTGGTGCTTTCTTCACACTATGAAGAGCCTAGGCGGAACAAGGATATGAGCCCTAGTCTTACTAAGCTCCTAGTATCCTCTGTAGTAATCCCTATAGTAGTCCCCTATATGGTCCGCTCCGCGTTCTCACCCCCACCTCCCTCCCAATGGTACGCCCATCTGACCCAGACAACAGGACCATAGGCGCGGAGTATCTTCATAAGCTTGCACTAAAGACTCTATGAAACCTTCATAAACCTTGTATGAACCCTCCAGAAAACTCTCTAACCTTTTGCAGACAGTCTATAAAAGCTCTAACCCCCTGTAAACCTTCTATATAGTATTAACAACAATATAGTATAGGGCCTCTAGAAACAATCTACCTCTATAAGATTTAAACCTCTCCATTGGACCACAGGACCAGAGGGGGGGTTAGGTTCATGGGCCATTGGGGGAGAGGGGGAACCCGTGAATGCTGACACATATATTCATCCCCTACAGAACCCCTTTAAGGAGTTCAGACCATAGCTCATATGGCCAACAGGCTTCTGTTTGATTTGGGGTTTAGGAGAGCGGTTCCGTATGGGGGCTAGAGTACGCTGCGCTAGTGATGGGTTGGTATTGTACGTACTGGTGTATAAGGACTCTGGGATTTAGACGGGTGAGTGATGCAGGGCTTCATCAGGGAAATCTGGTGTTGCACAAGATTTGTAAAAAGATATGATGCATTGCCGATGCAGGCTTTTGCCTCAAATCTTTGGCAAGATGCCATGGCTCGCGACTGCTGTCTTCCAATAGATTCGCTCAAATTCTGTGCCAAAGCTGCAGCTGGCTGGGCACTTTTTCGACTCGTGACGTCCAGATGAAGGCCCTGCGGACGAAGCCTCGAACCCGCAGAGGCCTCGCTTCTCGAGCGTTCAACTCCAAAGAGCAAGTTCTTATACAGCAAGCCCAGGTCCTGCTATCTTCAGCCCAGGAACCAGTTCGGGAGGCATCCATGGCTAGGAAGAAAATCCAGAGCAGGGAGCCATCTCTCTGATCTTCCATGTCTATTGGTGCTACAAATGCTGTTGAAGGTCAGTATGGCGCTTGTAGCTAACACTGCTGTTGCTGTACACAAAGAACATATGCCAATAGATAGATAGGTATATCCCGTTTGAAACCCCTTTATAACAAAGCTCACCTGAAAGTAGGGATATCCACCCAAAAAGCTCATGCTATGCTATTTATCTGTTTTCAAACTACTTCTTCTTCTACTGCACCAAACGGCAGAAACCTGGCTAATGGGATGACAACCACCACAGATCCACCATATATACCCTATACATCCCTATATCCTGGAGATTACAATGTTAGGGGCTCCTAGCAAGCAGCTGGAGACAAAGAAGCTCCCGGCCTATGAAGCTCATGCCGGCGTCTGCATCTGGGATGAGCACACGGCACCTCCAACAATGCGAGAGTCATGCGCTAGCTGGTCAGGTCATCCGAAAACCCAGGGGAGCAATGGCTTTTCAGGTGGTGGCACATGCAAATTCGAATCTGAGGAGGCGCTGGGGGCTTAGGTGAGCCCTCTAAACAATGGCCTATCAAATTTCAGCCTGGTCTGTCAGAACGTTTTGGGGGCAAGGGCTCGCGTGGACATGACCTCTGGCACGGCATGCATCAATGACTGCGAGAAGCTCTTGAAGCATTCTGGCCCTGTCAGCTATTTCGACTCTGTAGCACATGGAAGGCTATCTTGAAAGCAGTCAGGACATATGACGAGATAGTTCTCGTATGCAAGAATTCTTGGGGCAATGGAGCAGGAATCAATCAACTTTTACTTATGTGCCACACTTTACTTATATGCCATTCGGGTATTCCTCAAGGTGAAGGTGCCCTCCATTCATCTCAAGGCAGGCGCTCTTTGCGACAGGGACCCTGAAACATGAAACACCAATTTCGGGTGCTGGTAATGACCCCAAACACCCGTCCTACCATCCACCCCGCGCTCGAAGCCTGTCTTCCGTTCTTATCACCCAAGACCGTTAATGAGGGAAGGCCTCATCCCCTACAAGCTTGTAACGACCAAGTCCCCTTACAAGAACGGAGCACGGCCCGACAACACAAAACCCACCCACCCCCTTTAAAAAAGACAATGTTGATAGATGTTGTCTGTTTGGGCCCAAATCTGTTTTTTGGCAGCCTCTTGGCCCTTTCCCCTCAGCAGGCTCTTCTTATGCTGTTGAAAGGCTCTTGATCTGCTTTTTGTTGGCTCTGGCTGTCAAGGTCAAACAACATTGTCGTGCCCAATACAAGTAAGAATTCGTTGTTCTTCCAGTTTTCTGGCTCCCCCTTAAGTTGGCTGTGCCCTGACAAAGGTCAGAACGGCCGAAAACGGCATTCCTTGTTTTTCCTCCAGCCTCCCGGCCCGAGCCCTGTGCCCCTGAAAAAGCTAAATCTTACTGATTTTGGGCCTGAGCCGAAAATGACGCCCGTTGCTTTTCCGCTAGCCTACGTCCTATCCGCTTTTCGGGTCCCTACGTTGGAGAGATGAAGCCCTTGGATCTTTAAACTGCATCACTTGTAAACCAGAAAACAAGCTAACATTTCGAGAAGGGATTCGGGCAGAAAACTTAATCTTGCCTTGCTTGGGACGCCTCCTTGGGGGGTGGTAGCGGCTGACAGCTATAGCGTGCCAAACATGAAGCGAAACTACAGTGCTCGAGCTCCCAGGCAAGTACCTACTCAAGAATCCGGAATCATTGAAAACAAAATGCCTCCCCGTGAGAATGGTCTTTCTCACCTGAGCTAGGTTTGTGGTTGCAAGACTCTGAAAGTCTGACCAAGAGAGAATATGGCTGTAGTTGAAGGTCCGTTCATCGCCATGTAACTCCCTCTTGCGCAGAAAATTTGTGAAAATTGGCACAGCGATCAAGCTACCATTGGGATCGTGAACCTCATCAAAGGTGCGGTTGTTAGCTCGTTGGAGCAGGAGCTTTCGCACACACATTGCACAAACAGGGTTGCAAAGTGACAAGGAGGGCTGTCAACTCTTCTTCTTTAAAACCGCCTCCTTGTTGTCACTACTGCTTCCTCTGTGGCCAGGGGCTAGAACAATCTTATTTGCCTTCATTCCACTTTCTCCCTGACTATTGTTGAGTTATCTGTCTACTACGTATCCTTCAAAGGCTCCGCCTTCACCCTACAAGCAACATAGCAGCACTCACGACCCTACTAAGTCCCCTTGACCACCCGCTTAAATAATTACCAACATCAGTTTGAGGTCTGTTTGAGGTACCCTATACTGTAATGATACAACGAATCCAGAAATACGAGTAAAAAGAACCTTGACAAACCCCACAAAAGCCCAGCTTCCATTCCTTTCCTCCAATTTTTTCTCCAATATCAGCGTCAAACCGTATCAAACCATTGGTAAGTATCCCTACACCCTGAACCCTATGTAGGCTTCTACAAGTACCACCCTTTCCCGGCCTAGCCAGGCAGCAGAGCCTACTGTGCAGCACATCATCCTCCAGAGTGGTTTATATGGAAGTTGATAAGGGTCCGTTTGAAGGGTTGCTGTAGTCTACACTCCTTGAAGGGGGTTATATAGAAGATTATATAGGGGATTACTATAGGGGTTATTAAGGGGGATACTAGGAGTTTAGACTATAGATCATATAGGGATTCTATAGCTGCATGTAGGGAGATCTTTACGGGTTTCGGGACGGAGGTTCCAACATTGACTTCAACAAGTGGATTCTTTTTTAGGATCGCCTGTACCTGACAAGAACTATGCAATGGGGTCTACTTCGTGTACTTATTGCCCCTTATTCTGAAAACTACCATTTAGGGTTTAGGCGTTGGTGTCGAGGATTTAGGCTTGGGTTGGGGCGTGGATCTAGGAGGCCTTGGGTTCAGAGATTAGGGTTTAGAAATTGAGGGGTCTCTAAACCCTAAACCCCTATGGCCTAGTCGGACTCTATTGAGGGTTGTTACCGGCATTCACTCCTCCCCTACGCCCCCTATGCAAAAGTGGGGAAGGTGGAGATTGCGGGCTGGGTCGTAGTTGAGGGTTACGGGTTTAGGGTTTAGGGTTTAGGGCAGTTCGGTCAAGGTTTAGGGTTTAGGGAGCAATCGAGATTCGAAGCTACAACTCTGCCAAGGTTAGCAGCGACAACAACTCCAAAGCCTAGACCCTCAACCTTCAAACCTAAAGCCTATCCCCTGGTTTAGGGTTTAGGGTCTAAACCCTAAACCCCTGACCCCGAAACCCTTGTCTGCCTGGTGCTTAGGAGGGAATGGGGGAATGAATTATAGGGAGTATTCTTAGCCATTATATAGGGACTACTATAGGGATCCATTCCCCCATTCCCTGATAAGCGCCAGGGAGTTGTCTCAACATCATAGACTGTTGTCTATGGAAGACCCGTATCGAATCTTTGCTTGTGAACGGGATGCTGGGTTCCGAGTTTGAAGAAGTCCCCACGCGTTGCCGGGTGCACCAAGGGTAACACCTCACAAGGCACTTGGAAACATTGAGGCTCCTATGTCTCCAGCCCTAAAGTGCCCTTACATAAAGCTTACGTGGGGGCTCTAGGAGCATACAAATGGCCGTGTAAGGCTTACACTAATAGACTGCATCCGATCGCTCAAGCGTGTGGCTGTGGGAGGATCTCGTTGCTGAGTGAGATTTTCTGGGCTCCACATCAGGATTCCTGAAAATAGGGTACCATTTTGGTGGTCCCATAATCCGGATTTCTCTTATTTTGGGGTCTATATTGTGGTCCCCTTATGTAGAGAAACTACCATCATAGGGCGGTAACCCTAATTACACAGATCACCCTTCTCACCCGCTCAGCACCTTCAGTATTCTCGCTCCCTAGACAATGAAAATTGAAATCATGGGGGGCCAACAGAACTTGATCTTTTGCTCCAAGCCCTGTCTAACATCCAGCGCCGGGCAATGCTTGACAAAGAGCTCTGAGAATTTGACCCCTCAGCTTGATATAAGCCTGAAACAAACCGCGAGAATAGCAAAAACAACGATAACAACAAATCACACTAGGGGCACAGAGACCGATCAAAGCAATCTTGACAACAACTTTAACGCGGGAGTTTCGTATCCAAATGCGCATCGCCGCAACTTGAAGCCATAAGCGATACACTCCAAAAGCACAAATGGCATGCAAGCCCCTGCAATCTCCACCCCAAATTCTAAACCTTAAACCCCTGAGCCCTAAATCCCTAAAGTCCTAAAAAGCCCTGAACCCTCTATTCTAACTGCGACTTCCTTTCGAATCTACTTAAGGGGGGCTATAACCCTAAACCCTTAACCCTTAACCTTAAACCCTTAACCCTAAACCCTAAACCCTAAACCCTAAACCTTAAACCCTGAACCTCTCAACCCCAAGGCGCCTCGCGGCCCCAGCCCCAGAAGTGGTTCGGAAAGCCCCCAGCTCGCAAAAAATCCTTGTTTGACTTTAAGGAAGAGAATTTCCTATAAGGGGTTATGGGGGATATGTAAGGTTTTTATAGGGGCTTCAGGGCTTAGGATCTAGGGTTTAAGTTTTTTGCTTTTGTCGGTTCTTTGCCGTGCGCATGGTTTAGGGCTTAGAGAAATTGAGCACAAATGGAAACGACTATATTTTTGAGGATTGAACAGGGGCTGCTGAAGGACTAGGGATTTACACCTGCTTACCATTGTAAGGTAACCCTTTGAAACCCTTAGCCCAAATCACGGAAACTTAGCTCAGTTTCCTCTATAGCAACCCAGAAACGCTGAGCGACAGCGCGCACACGCCTGGCAAGGGTTTTCCTTGCTGGTTGTTAGGGCATGGCGGAATTGAGAATTGATCCCAGTAGCAGCCTAAACCCTAAGACCCAAACCCAAAACCGCCGCGAACACTAACCTGAACCCTAAACCATTAACCCTAAAACCTAACATCTGAAATCTAAACCCTAAAACCTAAACCCTAAACCTAAACCCTGAACCCTAAAACCCTGAACCCTAAATCCGTGATAGCATGAGAGGATCCCATAGGTTTTAGAGCGCACCCCAGCTTTCAGAAAGGCACCCCCAAAGGCAGTACTCCCTGGTGCTTAGGAGGGAATGGGGGAATGGATCCCTATAGTAGTCCCTATTTAATCCCAAATAATAACCCATACAATCCATTCCCCCATTCCCTCCTAAGCACAAGGGAGATTAAGCCTTTGGGCTCAATGTGCCCGATGTCGCAGCCTTAAACCCTAAACCGGTTCGGGGATGTGCAAATTCAGGGGTGCAATCCCATGAACTTCCAGTGCGACTCGCCAAAGCAATCCCTGAACCCTCAATCCTACACCCTGTTGTATGAGGCGTTGCTATGCCCTGAAAGCCTCCATAAATAATAGTAGCAGCAACATCCATGGTGAACACGCCTTAGAAACCATACCTCAGAGCTCACCCTTCTAAAATGATGAATACTCCGGAACATGTCATATCAGGGAGGAGGGTTTCTCTTGTTTGGGGGGGAAGGGTTGTTTGGCCATTAAGTTTCCTTCAACATGTAACTAAATCATATTCAATACCCTTCATATGACTTTATGCCATGCATGTGGGAGCATTAACAATTGTAAAGCCTGTGACCATTGTCAGGGCGCAGGTTGCTGACCGAGCCATCTGCCCCGTAAGATTCCCAGATCGTCCCTCTTCAGTAGATAGAATATGGCTTTGGGTAGACTATAATAAGATCCCCACATATCCCATATTCTATCTACTTTAGAGGGGCTATAACCCTATCCTGGTACCCGCCTGCCTTGGTGACAACATGTACGTCAACACCCTAGATCCCCTCAGCCACCAAAACATCGAATGCAAAGTTCTTCATAGTGGGCTTGCCTTGCCTCCAAAGAAGGCTGGATAGTCATACTTTCCTGGGGCAGTACGCATGTCTGGGCTGGTCTCAGGGGCATTGCGTCGCGGACGTTGGAATTTAGAATTTAGAGAATTTGGTAGTTTCCCAGAAAAGGGGGACCCTACTGTAGACCCCAAAACGCTATAGTCCATATTGGGACCCCAAAAAGTACCCCTAATTTTGGGAAACCTTCATTTAGGGATCCCGAGTCTGAGGGAAAATTAAGGACACCTTTTTGGGGTTTAGGGTTTTGGAAGATTGGCCTTTTGGGTTGTATATTAAGATACCCTAATTTGGGGAAACCACCTGGGCCCTAAACTTTGGATAACAATAGATCGAACCTGGTTTCTATGGAGCCGCCGTATACTAAAGCGCTGAAGACTCAAGCAGCCGTGATCTGCTGTTTCCTTTTCGAAAAAACATGAAGACATTCTCAAAGCGTGCTTCAGGGAAGGGGATTCTTGCAACAAAGATGGATAAGAGATTATTTGTTTTATCGGGTGTGGCTGGAAAATCCTTTAGCCCTAAGCGTTGGACCAGTAGGTTTAAACAACTGCTGCACATCTGAATCCTGTTTGTTCTTCAAGCCTGGTCAATGTTATCACCCTTTTTCATTTCATGCTCCATGTCTTTTCCATTTGATTCTCCACTATTTGCCTAAGCCCGAATGCCTGGGACCACACAGGGTTTTGGGTTGATGGGGAACAAGCTTCTGAACTTCCCGACGCTGAAGCCTCTGGCAGCTTCAGTTTTGTTTCCCACCCCACCCCCCAAATCGCCCTGAAGCACCTTTTAGCCCTCAAACCTTATCCCTAAACCGTATACCATGTGAGCCCTAGTCTAAACTCCTAGTATCCTCCTTAAAAACCCGCCTAGATACATTACAACCCCCTTTAAAACCCATTTGAAGGACTTTATAGACTATAGCTCATGTGGACCAAACTGGAGATCTGCACAATTTATGCAGCATCTCGGGCTTACTGGGCAGGCAGCCTAGCTCACAGTATACAGGGGTTTCTTAACCCGGGGTACTCTAAGGACCACGGAAAATGTGCGGATTGTACTTAGAGCATAGGACCTCCCTACTAGTGCCAGAGGATCCTGCAAGAAGTATTTTGAGAATTTGCGTAAGCGACGTAACACTCTGCCGCCTAACTGCCAGTCGAAGCATTACGGGTCAACGTTTCCAAATGTCTGAAGCAATATGGAGCTTGATCTAAAGTCCCTTCGGGGAAATTCAGGGATCCTGTGCCGAAGTTGTAAGGGGAAATCATTTTCCATAGTGGCCCTTTTGGGGACAGGACTTTTGACTAAGCAACATATAGTTCACAACACACAATAACGGCATTCTGTACGGCACTGAGAAGGCTTCCTGCTGTCCGTTGAAAATGTTCAGAAGCTTGGGGCCTGTACGTGATAACGTGTGAATGATACGTTTGGGTACGCCGATATGACCTTTTGATACTAAAATACCGTGCTTGCCAAGGTATAAGGCACGTAGGGTGATGCTGGAATTTTTTGTACGAAGCACACGATGCTAAGCTACAACGATAAACCGAACCGCTAGCTACATCCTGGAAAGACCCTAAACCCTACATGGGGATCTCTCCAAACTGAGGGGTCCCTGGAGATACATGGGGACAACAAGGGGATTCCTAACGCTGCACCAGCATTTGGCTAAAACATATTCATTCCCAAGAATGAAGTAAGAACTTCTTGCGACAATCTTCACACGTACACCATCACTTGGGGTGAGGTCAGGCGAGGTAAGCTCAATTGAAAAAAGTGGCCTACAAACTCAACATTAGCGTTCGCGTCCTTAGTGTAACTATATTAGAACCGTAGGATGTCCCCAAGCCCTAAACCCTAAACCCTGAACTGCTGATGTTTTAGGCTTCTTTACCTGCCTGAAACCACCCAGATTGAAATGGCCGAGCGGCGGTTCACCCAACCCAGGTGTACGCACTCCCCGGGGCGGCTGTGGCAGTAGAAGGGCACCAGTGATGGCGCCTATGTGGGCGGTTCGTGAGGTTTCAGGCTTGGAGTTGAGGGTTTAATTTCAATGTGGTTGTAGGGTGCCCTCTAACGATTCAAACTTCTACAGAAGAATCAGGGAGCCTTACGAATGCGCCCCTGCTACGGAATTATTCTTCTGACATACCCCATGTTTGTTTCTGGGGGCTGGAGCTGTTAGAGCAGGATTTTGCGGCGTGGCATCATCACTTAAGATTCCGAATGAGGATTTAGGCAAGGTTCATGTTGACTGGAGGGCCTGATGCGAATCGCATGAAATCCGAACGGAAGCTGGTAAGCTGGGATTGTAGAAGGATACACGGGGATCCGTAGAAGGATTGGTTGCCTGAGTAGCTCAAATAGGGTCTTGGGGTGTAATGTGATACCTTTTTATGAGCTATAGTGCAAACTCCTAGTATCCCCCTTCACAGCTCCTAAAATGCTCCCCTATATAATCCCCCAAACAACCCCTCTAAGGAGTTTAGACTATAGCTTGCATAAGGCTCAAGCTGGAGGACACAGATCTTAGGGAATGCCTCAGCAGGGTTCATGATCAGGATCAGCCTGACGACAAGTAGTGCTGCTTGTGACAGTAGCAGCTTCTCAAATAAAAAAGAACAGCTGTAGTCGAAGCATTGATGGTGGCAGTCGCTGTCGTAATCGTCATGCCGGCAGATGTACTAATAGAAACAGACCAAAACTGCAGCATGAGTGGTTGGGCTCTCGAATTCAAACCCCCAACCCTGGTGCCGTGTTCCTATTCCGAAGCCCTAAGCCATGAATCGGTCTTCGCACTACGAGACACTAGTGTTGGCCACAACAATTATTTTACAACAGCTGCCACTGGAGCTTGGCGACACCGCCCCGCACGAATCCCGTCCCCCAAGACTAGCCAGCCAAATTGATGGCGGGATGCCGGTATGGTATCCACGTCATGTAGGCAGAGGCGGACGTTCATTGCATCGTAGAGGTGCGCACAGCACCATAAGGCTCCTCTGAAATACTCGGTGGCGCAAGGGCGGGGCTTATGAGCGGAGAATCTTCTGAAGCAAGGGTACATGCCAACTACATGGGCCCGGAAAACTCAAAACCAGTTTCTTCGCATTCCTAGCAGTGCTTGTTTTTGCGCAGAGGTCGCTCCTTTTCCAACAGACAAGAGGGCCCTATGGGCATACTCTGTAAACATGTACCCTATCCACTTCAGGACGACGGATGTTTTTCTTTCGAATTCCAGTGTTGGAGCTGAAGGAAGAAGGTTCTTGTCAGAGGCCTTCAGCTTTAAGCTTCCAGTGCGGGTGCTTAATCAAAGGCGGGAGACAAGAAGTACCCCCGCCTATGCAGGCTCCAAAAATATTCCCACGGAAGAGAGTCAGTCAACTCTCAGGATCTGAACAAACAGGCTTAGGGTGTAGGGCTGAGGGTGTACGACAGCGATGGCATTGAGACAAGGCGCTTATATGAAGGAACACCAACGGTCTTGAACTTTCCAGTGCTGTAGTCTTGGCCTCTCATGCTGTGAGCCCATACCATGAACTGGGTACCCTGGGGTTATATAGGGGTGAGATCGGGATTATATAGGGGTTATAAAGGGAATAATGGAAAAGACAATGGAAACTCCTATATTTTTATAGGATGCAAACACTGCAATGACACTACGATCGAGAACAACATTTGAACTTGATTGTGGCCACTACACCAAGCAAGTGAAAAGTGGGTTGATGAGGGCTTGCTTGGACATTTTTCTGTCACGAACGCAATCATGGCGAGAACAGGATCTATTTCAGCATGATTATATGAGGATTTGAGTAAATGACCTTCTGAGGCATTCAGACTTAGACTTTGGTTTAAGACAAAGAGCGGCATCAAGTCACGTATGCCCATCAATGCTGGCAATGTGCATCTTGCGGTAGTTCACCGCTGATGATTCTATGTGGGCCTTGAAGAAGTGTTCAAAATACAAAATGAACCCCTTCATAGCGGGGTTTAAATTTGAGATGCCCTGAAACATTGACAGCTGCACTATGGTCTAAACTTCTAGCATCCCCCGCAAAAGCCCCATAATGCTCCCCTATATAATCACCTACATAACCTCCCTTTAAGGAGTTTAGACTACAGTTCAGCTGCTGTCCAACATTGAGGAGCTTCCCGCGATTGAACTTCTCCTCGTCGGCCTGCCGCAGGGAATGTATTTGATCTGGTTGGAACTGAAGGCAAAAACATTCAAGGTCCCTGCTTAGGAATCCCCATAATACGGAGTATGGCATATTGGGGTCCACACAATTAGTGGGGCTACGGAACCTTCAAGATATCTATTTATAGGGGTGAGGTGGGGAGTTTATTAAGGGGAGGGGATGAGGGGATGCTGTTGACCAGGCCCAACACCACATCCGCAATCTGCCCCGGATCCCTCACAAAAATCAAGCTTAGATGCTTTAGTTTTTCTGATTCGGCTGTTTATTAGGATTTAGGGGTTAAGGGTTAGGGTGTATTGGATGTTTTTGGAGAAGCACACTTAAGGCTATGTTCATGGCACGCTTGAAATCATGAAGCCCGGGACCTAGAAGCCTAGAGCACAAGGCAAACACAAGCGCCCCCTTCGTAAGGCTTGACAACTTGAATGCGTAGATTCCAACCCTAGGCCCCAAAGCCTCAACCCTAAACCCTGAACTTGAAGCCCTCAACTCTTGCATAGCCTGATCTATCACCACCATCTTGGCAGCGACATTGAGCGGCAAGGAGGGTCGGAAGACTGTTTCAAAGTGATGGAGGAACTCCTGCGCAAAGCCGGCATGTACTGCCATATTCTGGTTCTTTATTGAGAAAAACCCTACACCCTATAGATTTTCATATTCCTTACTGGGTTTTGATATGACAAGAGCTAGCGATTATACTCAACAATGTCCCGGCATGGATCTTCCAGAGAACAAGGGTACCAAATGGTCCCTTCTTTACAAGGACCTCGACAACAGCCCCCATATATGAGCTAGAGTCTAAACTCCTTCAAGAGGGCCATATTGGGGACTGTCTGGGGGACTATTATAGGGGTTAATAAGGGGGATGCTAGGAGTTTAGCCTATGGCTGCTCATATACATTCTAAGAGCTTCCACAAAGGACTGTATGAGAGCCATTTGGAGAAACTCCAATACCGGCACTACTTCTCTTGGGAAGCGTTTGGCTGACAGAAGCTGATGCGGTTGCATGATGTTACATGATGCTATATGAGCTATAGTCTACACTCTTAGTATCCCCCTTAATACCGTTTATAATACTCCCCTATATAATCCCCTATATAACCCCCCTTTAAGGGGTTTAGACTACCCTTTATATGATGTGTACCGCGACCATACAGTGTTGCGTTAGGCATTACAGACAGCCTCGCACTGACTCTGGCTGTCCTCCGTCCAGCTACACTTCCGGCCGGCGTGGGATACACCAGGCGAATATATTCATATATTGGGACTATATAGGGATTATAGTCTGTTCCCTAAACCCTGAACCCTCAAACCTTAAAACCTAAACCCTATGACCTACTAAGAACCGATAAGGGTAGGGTTTCAAGATGCAGGCCAATGGATTCCTGAGCAAAAGAATTCGAAAGCACATCGAGACTCTTAGGATGGCGCCGCTTTAGAAGAACCAGTCTATATTAGGGGCCATATTAAGGGCTATAGGGTTTAGGGTTGGGGGTCATATCAATTAAGGGCTTTGGGGTTTAGGGTGGGGGGGTCATATTAAGGGCTATATATAACCATACGATACATATTCTCCAACAATTACAGAGGGTGGGGGCAGTACCCAAAATCTAGGACTTTTTCGAAAAGGATTTCATTCTGCGGGTGAAGAGAACGAAGAATCCAGCTTGGCGCGAAGTATTATTTACTTCAAGCCTGTGACCTTCTCTGTATGTGTGGTCTAGAAATGCAGGCTGGCGTATATTGGCAACGCTCTAGCATCCGTTTGCAACGCTTTCTTGCTCACGCAAGTGTGAAAAGGTCAGCAGGAACTACCAAACATGAAGTAGCCATACAACGTAACAACCCTAAACAGCTTAAACCAGGACGCCTGAGATCCCACACACAGAACATACCCGCAAGGAAAGACGACTGGCACCTGCTAGATTTTAAACGCCACATGAGCTATAGTCTAAACTCCTAGTATCCCCTTAATAACCCCTATAGTAGTCCTCATATATAATCCCCTATATAAACCCCCTTTGAGGGGTTTAGACTATAGCTCACATACATACGCAATGCCTCCAAGGTTCGTAAGCGTGCATATTTAGGCCCACACAATCAATTCGGCTGATGGCCCATAAGAATTCTTCCGTCAAGCCGGAAAGGCAACCCCAGCACTGAGAAATGGGGTTTTCCAGAAGTAGGAGTACCTTTGTGGGCGTCCCAATCATAAGGATCATAGCATTTTGGGGTCTATATTAAAGTCCCCTATTGTGGGAAACTACCAAACACCTCAATGGCCTCCAAAATAAGAACAAGATGGACCATCAGAAGTAATCCTTCTAAAGCTTCGGCTTTTCCAGATGGGATAGAACAGTGTTACCAGTGTCCCCGTTTTTATATTGGGGTCACACTCTCTAAAACCTTACCAAAATCCAAGTTTCCATGTAAATTCTTCCGTTTTTGTCCAATTTGATTCTCCATATATAACCCCCTTTTAGGAGTTTAGGCCCTAAACCCTAAACCCAAAGCCCTGAACAGTAGTTTTCATCTCCTTTTCCATTATCCCTTTTCTGCCCCCCTTTACGGACTGACTATAGCTCATATGAGCGATAATCTAAACTCCTGGTATCCCCCTTAACATCCCCTATAGTAGTCCTCTATATAACCCCCCAAAAAAACCCTTCCAGGAGTTTAGACTGTGGCTCATATGGTGCAGGATTCTGGTTGGCCTTCAGCTGGTGCCCGCGCCCCTGCGAGACCTCCTCGCGGAAAGGCACCAGCCTTGCCAGTTGGGGAGTTTGGAGAATTACATGTGGGTTAAGGGTTCAGGGTATAGGCATAGGGTTTAGGGCTTACTACTATTACTTAGGGGTTGGGGGGTTAGGGTTTGTTACCACTACTTTGGGGTTGGCGGGGCCATTTTGGCTTCGAAATGTCGAGTTTCAAATTTAAGGAAATTGGGGTACACTAAGTTATGGTAAGTTTACACGGGCTTGAAGGTTTAGGGTTTAGGGGACGCATAGCATGCTATTTGGAGGGAACCCACCACCCACTTTCCCCAACGAGTGAGTGAACCCCATATCACACACCTTTGGTTCAAACGTCACCTGAGGAGCCGACCAAAAATCAATGCTCCAAAGTATCGAAGATGCAGGGGAAAAGCAAGTACGGATTCCTAATATCTTCGGGTACATGGGGTATTCCTCCTCTTTGGATGGCTTCCTTCGATTTGCATCAGACTAAGCTGGCAGGCTAGATACTTGGTAGTCGACATTTTGAAGCACCCAGGCGCCATTCAAAGCATACTTCTACGCATAACCAACTGGGCACTGCTCACACTGTCCCTATGCCTCATCTCTAAGTAACAGGTCCTGCACAATCTCCTAATAGTCTCCATGTAGCCCTTGGGGTTTGCAAGGGCCCGAGATGTTTTCCAGAAAAACAAAAATCCTCATTCCGTCGAGAGTGACAAGTCAGCTCATCATGCCAGGCGGCAGCACGAGCACACAGCTCGGTTCGATGTAGATCTCCTGGCTTGCATTGTTGTTCCCAGATGTACCCTAAACCCTGAATCCTAAATGTAGCCAACCTCTTGACTCCAGAACCTGCAACTCACACATGGTGTCTTATCGGGTGTTATTCAAAATTCAAATTTTACCTTCCTGGCATTTCGTGAAATGGATAGAACTGAACACAATATGCAACAACTGCCCAGCAACCTTACCTTCTAAACCTCGAGGTTCGACCCCTGAACCCTCGCCGCTTGCAAGCTGAAACTGGGTTGCTGAGGAGTTCCTTATTACAGTTAACTTAAAACCCAAGTTTCTTAAAATCGAACATGGAAGAGGGGGTTCAGGGAATGGAACAGAAAGAGGAAGCTACTACATTATTGGGCATTGTAAAGAGACGTCTATAGGGATTTAGTCGGCCATGCTGTATGAACAGGCAGCAGGACAACCCAGCCTAACGTGGGGCCTAGGGCCTGAATGATTACTGACATCATCGTCCTAGATTCCTTGTATGAGCTATAGTCTAAACTCCTAGTATCCTCTTAATAGCACCTATAACACTCCCCTATAATCTCCAAACGTAAGCCCCTTTAGGAGTCTGGACTACAGCTCGTATTATTATGGTATGGGGAACTTGAAATGGTAGTCTCCCAAAAGAGAGGGACCCCAATATAGACCCCCTATACTATAGTCCTTTTTATGGGGACCCCAAACTGGCAACCCTAATTTTGGGAAACCTCCAAATGGACACCACAAGAATTTTGGCAAGAAATTAAACCATTACCGTAGGACGACAGCCGGGCGCTTTCCTACTTGGAGCCGGAGCCTCAAACAAATTGGTATCCTAGGTCATGGCTCAGGGTTTAGGAATTCATCCAAAGCATCAATGGATGTACAATGTTTAAAGTTTAGGGATTCGGGCTACGGTTTTGGGAAATAAGGTCTAGGGAGTACTGTAGCGTCTCAGGTTTAGGGTATACTTACTGTACTGGTGATTAGCAAGGAATACGGGTGCATAATTTCCAACCCGTGTATAGTAGTTTCCCTCAGCAGGGGGGCCGCAATATAGACCCCAAAATACTATAATCCTTACTATATGGGCCCAAAGAAGCCACCCCAAATTTTCGGGAGATTCCCCTACAAATCCCCAGTAAGTTTAAGGTTAGCCCTGGATCAACCTCTGGCCTTAGCCCAGTAGCCCCCCCTCATCTCATCTCATCTTATAGATTCCCTCACTACCCCCCTCTATACCACCCCCCCCATTTAGGGACCCCAAACCCTAAACCCTAAACCGTGTTCATCCTAGTTAACCTTTATCAACCCTACCCAAAAAACTTTAATTAAAGGTGGAACCTAAGGGGGGCGGGGAGTATAGAAGGGGGTGGGTTTAGGGTTTAGGGTTTAGGGGAACCCTAAACCCTGGGAACCCATGATCATCTTGCAACATACGGGAATTTCTCAAAACATTGGCATCCTAGGGATCC